TGAGTCAAAAATTATCCACACTCTGATTGTATTTAAATGTCTGTCCAGGTCCACAGCTGATGACAACATTGAGTGTGCACATGAAATGGTTCTGTCAAGTAGATGAGTGACAGTAGATTATGTGGTAAATCATTTGCAAATCAGCCATGGTTCTGCCTATGAAATAATCCATGACAGACTTGAGTTCAAAAAGTTTATGTGAGATGGGTACTGAAACAACTCATGGAAGAGCATACACAGAAGTGTTTGGACATCTGCAAACAAAATTTGAACTGATACTTGAAGGAAGCTCAAAGTTTCTTTAAAAAAATCATTACTGGTGACAAGACATGGATTCATCACTACGAGTCTGAGAGTAGGCGGCAGAGTACAGACTGGAAACATCCTCAATCACTGACCAAGAAAATGTTTAATTAAAGGTCAACCATCAGCTGGAAAATTGATGCTTACAGTTTTCTGGGATTCTCAAGGACCAGTATTGGAAAACTGTCAGGAAAATGTTTAACAATCAGAAGTGAGATGCTCACTGAAGAACTGAAGCCTAAACGTTGGATTAAACACAGAGGACTACTATCCAATGGCATTGTGATCTTGCATGACAATGCAAGTTTGCATACCTCTGCCCACACTGTTGACACTCTGCAAAAACTATGTTTTGATGTGTTAAAGCATTCTCCTTATCATCCTGTTTAGTTCCCTGAAAGCAGGCTTAGAGGACGAAGATTCATGAAGATGTGAAGACAGTGGTGCATCTGTGGCTCACTGCTCAATCTAAAACAATTTTTAATAAGGGAATATGAGAGTTTGTTGACAGACGGACAAACTGTATTGAAAAGCTAGGATATTATGTCAAAAAATGATGCATTTGTCTTTTCTAAAAATTGATTAAAAGAAATTCTATTGCCAGAGTGCAGATAATTTTTGACTCACCTTCATAATTAATGGAAAAGAGTAAACGAATATAAAGGGAGATAACATTTTTATAATTTGCTTAAACTGGTAAAATGACAAAACTAGTACAATGTGCTGAATGATACATGTATACAGGTAGACTTAATTGTATTGTGATTTGCTTTATTGGTCTTCACAGACACTGGCAACCCATTTTGAGGAAGTCTATCTGCAACATTTGCAAACAACCTGTGCTCACTTCATGTCTCTGTCATATTTTGGCAATTCTCAAAATAGTCCCAACTTTTTCATAATGATATTGTGCACTTACTAAACTACAGTATAGTGTACACTTTTATATGTACTGGAAACCCAAAAATGCTGTGTGGCTCTTTATTGTCATATTTGCATTGTTGTGGTGGTCTGGACAACCAAACCCTCAATAGCTCCAAGGTATGACCATCATGTAATTCCTAGATCAGCCACTAAAAAAAAAAAGAAGAAGAAGAAGAAGAAGAAGCTATACAAAGAAATACACTCAAAAACACTACAGTCAAAATTTAAATTCTATAAAATGTCAAAACAGAGAAATGAAAAACAGAACAAACAGAAAACAAAAAATAAAATGACATACTTCAGCCTTAGCATATTAATCATTATATTAAATGTAAATGGTCTAAATGCACCAAATAAAAGACAAAGTTGGCAGAATGGATTTAAAAAATGACTCAACAATATGCAGTCTACAAGAAACTTCAAATAACAGAGCTTCACAATTTGTACAGCAAAAACTGATAAAACTAAAAGAGAAATATGCAAATTCACAATACAGTGAAAGACTTCAAGACCTATCTTTCAACATCTAATAGAAAACTAGACATGGAATTAGTAAAAATTTTGAAGAACTCCACACCATTAACTGATAGGATCTAATCAAGATTTATGAATACTCCACTCAGAACAGTGGAATACAGATTCTTTTCAGGAGCCTACGGAGCATATATCAAGACTGAACATATCCTGATCCATAAAACCTCACCATCTTAAACAATAATGAAACTATGCAGAGATTGTTCTCTGCCACAGTGAAATCAAACTAGAAACCATTAACACAAAGACTATAGGAAAATTTCAAACATTTGGAGACAAAGTAAGAATGTTCATTTTCTCTGCTCTTATTTATTTTCTATCCTGTTCAATAAGCAAGGAACAGTAACAAAAGGGGGTCACAAAAATGTGTACACAATGTTTATGACAACTTTATTTATAAAATATTAAAACTGGAAACAACCCAGATGTCCTTCATTGAGTGATGACTCAAAAGACTGTGCTACATCTATACCATGGAAAAGTGTTGTTGTTATGTGCTGTGGAGTTGGTTCTGACTCATAGTGACCCTGCACAGGGTTTCCGAGGCTGTAAATCTTTACAGGAACAGAATGTCTCATCTTTCTCCCATGGAACAGCTGGTAGTTTTGAACTGCTAACCTTGTGGCTCGCAGCCCGATTCGTAACCACTACACTACCAGAGCTCCTTACAATGGAATATTCCTCAGCGACAAAAATGAACAAATGATTGATGAATCTCCAAAGAATTATGTTAAGTGTAAAAAGTGCTCCCAAAAGGTGACATGCTATATGATTCCACTTAGATAGAGTTCTTGAAACAAAAAAATTATAGAACTTGAGAGCACAATAGTGGTATTTAGGGGTTAGGGAAGGGGTGGGAGAAGGGTGGAAATGGGTATGGTTATAAAAGTGAACATGAAGGATTTTGGTGATGATGAAATGTTTCATATCTTGACCAAATCACTATTAACATCCTGATTGAGATATTGTCCTATATTTTACGAGATACAATTTTTACATGATTAGAAGAAATTGCTATAGGATTCACATGATCACTCTGTATTAGTTCTTACAACTGCACATGGATTTACAATGATCTCAGAATGTTTCATTATAAGCAAACAAAAAAATGGCTTCCTCAGGGGAAGAAAAATTGTGAATTCTCTTAAATGAAATATGAACCTATCTTATAGTTTGCTGCTGTACTATGTGGATATTTTAGAAACAATATTACCCCATAAGAAGTCATTTGTCAATAAGGAAATGTCCCATGCATTATGGAATACAAAGCCTCTAATATTCTGAAAGGAACTCTGGTAGCCTAATGATTACGAGTTGGGCTGCTAACTAATCTCATGGTCAGTAGTTGGAAACTAACAGAGGTTCTATAGGAAAAAGATGAGGTGCTCTGTTCTCATAAAGAATTACAGCCTCAGAAACCCTGTACAGGGTCGCTATGAGTCAGAATTGACTCCACACCACATAACCACCACCACCAATGTTCTGAAACTATAACATGGATATATTTCTGTCAATTAATGACACTTGGTTTAGGGTTGACACTCATGTTCACTCCAATATACCAGCGTTGCAAGGTCTATAATAATTCATAAGAACTACTGAAAGGAAAGTTTCTTATTAAGTAATCCATTTTGTCCTATAGACCCCCAGGGTATGTTGAATTAAGTATCTATGACTTTGATCAATCCTAAACCTTGAGTTAGTGATAGAATTTCATAATGCTTTTGTTTTCATAAAGAGTAAGATAAGAATCCTCTATCCTAATAATTCGTGAAAAAAAACTTTTCTTAGCTATCCCCTCTCATTTTTATCTCTCCTCTCTTCTCTAGTCAACAAAGTAGTCAGAATAATCCTAATTTATTCAAGTAGACACATATCAATTTTGCTATTAAGAAAAAAGCTGTCCTTTCGTGGTCCAATTCACCTTCACACTTTATAGAATTATTTCCAGGATTTTATCATTACAAGAGCTTTCTACCATGCAGATGATGAAAATATTAATACACATACACAAGGAACCAAGCCAGTCTGCTGTTTTCCTTCCTGTTTTCTGTGAGGTTTTTCCTGTTGTACAAAGAAATCTTCTCAAGTAGCCTCTAAAACCCTAACAAAAATTTCCCAGAATGAGTTAACTACCTGTCTCATGGTAATTTCAGGAGTGGAAAGTGAAAGCAAAGCCAAGAATCATTTATTGAGTGCCTTGCATGGCACTGTAGGATAAGCACTGGACCACAAGTTTGATTTGAACTGCAAGGTGGTGATTAACAAACAAACCGGCACTTAACAAACAAAATATGTGTAAGGTATTGCACCAGGCACTGGTCACTATGGTCAAGCAGTTTAAGTGCAGACCTGCTCTCAAGTAGCTTGCAATTTCATTGTCAAGATGAAGCATAAATATATTCTATGTAAAAGTAGATTCAAATAAATAGACTCAATCATTTTATCATGTTTCAATGGTTCAAATTGATACCAATTCAGTATGTTGATTTTTATAATTGTAAACTTCCTTCTTTGAGAATATTGTAGATTTTATTATCGCCCTTCCATGCCCCCACCAAGTCTCAATCCTGCTTTGCAGCATAGCTGTTATGTTTGGGAAAATGCTTGATAGTTTCCATTATTGTCTTGGCTTCAACCTTAAGAATAATTCTGGAGGATGAAACTTCATGGTCTGTAGCGGGCAGAAAGACAGGGTTAATAAAGCCCTTTCAGTTCCCTATGAGGTGGTGACACACACATTTTTCACAGTGTCACTGAGATGGAGGAGTTAAAAGCTGGAGTCGGTTCCTGGAGGTGGAATCAAAGTAAACCTCCTGGTCTTACTACCAGTGTCTTTTCTCACAGCTCATCTGATCCTTTGAACTCTTTCTCTGGCTACGATTGTTCTGTCCCTACATATTGAGTACAAATGAAAGGACTCATAGTGGACAGAGAACTTGGCTGCCATCTAAGGGCCCCTGGTGTCCAATGACTGTGAATTAGTTATTTCACAGCTCTATAGCATTTCTGCATGTGAAAAGAAGTGGGAGGGGATGGTGATTGTATTTTTGCTGTGATGGATTTGTGAAGTCTATTTAGGGAATTCGTTGGCGTCATTATAATTCTGCATAGATAAGATGCCTTATACATATTTAATAGATATTTAAATTTCTTTTAAATCCTTCTGTACCTACAAATGCATTTCTTGGTAACTTGATCCTACATGTAAGCCTTAACATATTTTCTCTCTTTTGTAGGTTGCTGAACATTGAAAATGAAATGATCACATTTGCCATTTACTATGCTGGAATTGGTGTTATAGTATTTATCACAGGATATATTCAAGTTAGTAACTTCTCAACCCAGGATTGAACAGTGTTTCATTCTGCTGTGCATAAGGTCTCTATGGGTCGGTACTGACTCAATGGCACCTAACAACAAGAACTACATTATTATCTCAGGGGGACAAAGGATTAATGTACTTGGCTACTTGGTTCAGGTCTACCATCCTCTCCTTGGGAGAAAGATGAAGTTTTCCCAGAAACATTTACAGCCTTAGAAACCCTATATGGGGTTCCTATGAGTTGGTACCAACTCCATGGCACTTAACAACAACAACAGCAAACCAACCAGAAGGTTGGAGATTTGATTCCATCCAGGAGTGCCTCGGAAGAATGGCCTAATGACCTCCTTACTTCTGAAAACTCAGCTACTGACAACCCTGTGGAGCACATTTCTACTCTGACACACATAGGGTCGTCGTAAATAAGAGTCAATTCAATATCCACTGGCATTTTATTGCTGATTTTTGGTGGGGGTGGGGGAGGGTTGAGTGAATGGGGATGGTTCTTTTTCCTCAGATCAGAAAAAGGATACAAGAAATTGTCCAGAGAAAAAGAGATTAGACTGTCAGTTTTAGTTTTGTGTCCTTCCTTGCTCTTCCCTCTTTCGTCCTCTCTTCTAACCTTGGTAATGGGCAGTTGTGTGCATGGAAGGAAGGTTAGTAGTGTGGAGAAAGGTAAATGAAAGCACAGTTTACTTCTGATTTCTCTTTTATTGTTAAATGCTTCACCACACAGCATTACAATCCAAGTTCTGTAAATCTGAATTGAGTGCAGAGTCTAGTTATAAGACAAAGAAAGAGCTTGGTAGTAACTTTACCCCTTTTAAAGGAAGAGAAATATTTTTCATCCTTTGCCTTCCTTGTAGATAAGAAAAATAATGAATTCCTTGACATTCACTCAGCAACTCCAGGAAGTTAGTGTTAGTTGTAAAGAGAAGAGAAATTTCCCCATCGTTTCATGGAGTGTTGGAATGACTGGCTTGCTTTGCTTTGGTCGGGGGTCATCTGCCAGTAGATTCCCTGCTTATTCCATAATGTTTGCCTTCTTTTCCCCGAAAATCATTGACCAATAACCTGAAAACTATCCCTGAATGCTTGTATGGAGGTCTCTCAGGGGAAAAATTCACTCAGCAAAATAATGATTTAAGATATGTTTATTTTATTTTATTAAAACTTATTTAAGTAATAATTTTGATATGCTGAGTTTTCCATTGCACATGAAGAAGATGAAACTTACATCAAAAAGTCATGATGTTGCTTGAGTGTCAAATCTGGATTCAAATATCTTGCTTCCATGTTCACAGCTGATCTGAAAGCTAGCCAAGAGATAGTGCCTTGGTTCCCAAGACAAGGTGTTTTATGAATTCTTTCTCTCCTTTTCTTATCTGTCATTTGAAGCAAAGAAGGACTTAATGAATATTTTTAACCTTGCTCTATTTGCAGATATGCTTTTGGGTTATTGCTGCAGCTCGTCAGATACAGAAAATGAGAAAAATTTACTTTAGGACAGTAATAAGAATGGAAATAGGATGGTTTGACTGCAATTCAGCAGGAGAGCTCAATACAAGATTCTCTGAGTAAGTACTGGTAGAACAATGTTTGAATGCATATATGATTTTTGCATAATAAAACTGTTGAGTTGTTTTATTTAACAAGAGAAAATTGTTTTGAATTTAAACAACAGTTTAAAATATAATTTCCAGTCATTTTTTATAAAAATTTGGTTTCTTAAATTGGACTTTTATAAGCAGCATGAATAATGCTTTCTCAAATCTTACCACTGTGACTTACTTGAAAGCCAATGTACTAGAAATTGGTTTGTGGGATCTTGACTAATAATGGTGTGGCACTATAGGATAAATGCTCGACCACAGGCTAATCTGAACCCACCAGTCACTCTTCCAAAACACCAATCAGGGTCTCTATGAGTCAGAATTGGCTCAACAGCACTTAACAACAATAAATGAAGTATTATGGAGTTCTGGCATGATGCCATAGGATAAACTGTGCCCTGTGAACCACAAGGTCAGTGGTTCAAATGCACCAGCTGCTCCTCTTAAACTCTATACAGGGTCACTGTGAGTCAGAACTGACTCAACGGCACTTAACAATAACAACAATGAAGTATTATGGAAGAGAGTTAAAAGATGTAGGGTTATCTAACATTAAAAGGAGAAGTTGAGGGATGTAGGGATGTTAATGTGGCACTAAGGGTTAATGTGCTGGACCGCAAAGTCGATTTGAACCACAAGGTTAGGGGTTCAAGCTCAGCAGCTGCTCCTCAGAAACCTTATATTGGGTCACTATGAATGGGAACCTATTTGACAGTACTTAACAACAACAATAACAACATGAGGAAAAACAATACAGTTGGAACTCATTATCTTGCTATATCTACAGCAGCAACTTCAGCACACAAAACAAAAACAAAAATCCAAAATAACTTGAGAAAGATTCAAACGAAGAAGCTGGATTTAAATTCAGTTTATACCCAATACTAATTTTGGTCCTTCAGAAGTTCTGGGTGAGCCCTGGGTAATTTGAGCCAGTAAGGTTGAACCTTGAGATCTCATGAGAGACAATTAATGAGAAGTGAAGATACAAATAGACTGGAAGTTGAGACCCTTGGGTTCCAGCACTCACTCGATTCCTCACTATGACCTTGGAGAAATAGCTGGCCTTGCTAGACTTTAATCCTTGGATTCACGTAGGTCCTTTCTTGCTCTCAAGTCTCAGTTTGATCCATATGGATAGAAATTAAGATTAATGTCCCCAGGAATATGAATTTGATGTGATTATACTCAGCCAATTTTTTGGAGTACTTACCTGTGCAAGCCATAAAGAGAAACCACAAAACTCCTGCTCTCAAGGAGCTTACAGACTAGTAAGAGGGATACGAGGAGCAGGCACAAATGCAGAAGTAATTTGTATATGCTAGGTAGTATTTTGTATATTTTACATATATCAAATAATTTAATACTTGTGGTTACGAGTCAGGCTGCTAACCTCAAGGTCAGTAGTTCAAAACTACCAATCATTCCATGGGAGAAAGAGGAGGTTTTCTGCTCCCGTAAACATTTACATGCTCAAAAACCCTATGCAGGGTTGCCATGAGTAGAAACTGACTCCATGACACACAGCTAACACCACTACCACCCTATTCATTGAGAAAGAGTCCATTTTATAGATGAAGAAGCTGAGGTACAGAGTGGTGAAATAACTTTCCCATAAAGAGTTGATAGTCAAATTCAGAGAACATGTCTCAGAGTCTTTGCTTTGGGCACTTCACAACAATGTACTGCCTCTAAGTGGAATATAATAGTTACACACACACACACACAGAGAGAGTAATTAAATTTCTATATTGATATAGGGAAGAATTTTCTTCCTGGAGGATTACACAAGGTTTTATGAAGTAGGTTCTAATGAGCAAAGCCTAGAAGCTGGAAGAATTTAGTAGATTTGAAGAGGAAAAGAAGGACTTTTCAGGGCAGAACAAGATGACTAGCTTTACAAGTAAGATTCAGCTTTTATCAATACTGAGGGACACTGGTTGGGAAAACTGGGCTTGGGACAAACTTGCTTGGCTCTGAGGGAAGATATTTGATGATCTCCCAAGGTGCAACACATTTTCCAAGAGCTGAGATGTATCTGTTACCTAAGGGCAATGGAGTATGAAAATGAGAGTATTTAGAAGAAAAAGATGGGTGTTTTTCAACAAGACATTTGAACTGACCAATTTTGGTTTGGTGACCAACATATTTCTTGTTTCTAGTGATGTTAATAAAATCAATGATGCTATTGCCGACCAAACAGCCCGTTTCATTCAGTACATGACCACATGCATCTGTGGACTGCTGATGGGATTTTTCAAGGGTTGGAAACTGACATTGGTTATCATTTCTGTCAGCCCTCTCATTGGGCTTGGAGCAGCTGTCATTGGTCTGGTAAGAATGTCTTCTTGCTTCTTTCCCACAAAAATATTTGCACTGAAAATAAGCCAAAAATGTGAAGCTAGAGTCCCTTCTTCAATTTTTAGTCAAACTCAATATCTCTACTTTGATTTATTTTGTTAATTACTCCCCAGTATCAAACAGCATTCCACTGGTTAGGAATTCATGATGTTTTAATAGTATAAACACTATGTATTTCATTAATAATAATAGCAACTACATTTATCATAACCAATACATCTATTACCAGCACTCTGTCAGTTTGTCATACTGTGTGTTGCTGTAAGGCTGGAAGTTATGCCACTGGTATTTTTAAATACTTTTTATAAAATATTTTAAATGTTCAAAATATTTTAAGTATTTTCAACGTCCACCCATGGTGGACAGGTCTCAGTGAAGCTTCCAGATTAAGACTAGGAATAAGAAGAAGCAGACCACTTCTGAATGGTGAGCCACTGAAAATTTTATGAATAGCTCCAGAATATTGTCAGATATAGTACAGGAAGATGAGTCCCTCAGATTGGCAAGCACTCAAAATGCAACTGGTGGAGTTGACATTTATGATGTGAAGATACAAAGTTTTTAGGATTTCCATTTGCTGATGGGGCACAATTCAAAATTAGAAGAAACAGCTGACATCCATTAATAATCAGGGCATAGAATATATGTAGTATGAATCAAGGAAAACTGGAAGTCATAAAAAATGAAATGGGATGCATAAAGATGAATATAGTAGGCATTAGTGAGCTGAAATGGACTGACATTTGTCATTTTGAATCGGACAACCATTACTATTCTTCAAACAACAAATCAAAGAGAAATTATGTCACATTCATCATCAAAGAGAGCACTTCAAAATCTATCTTGAAGTACAATGCTGTTTGTAGCATGATAATATCCATACACCTAAGTGGAAGACTAGTTGATATCACTATTATTCAAATTTACTCACCAACCACTAAAGTCAGTGAGGATGAAATTGAAGAATTCTATCAACTTCTTCTGGTTGAAATTAATCAAACATGCAATCAAGATGCATTTAGAACTACTGGTGATTGGAATGCAAAGTTTGGAAACAAAGAGGAAGGATCAGTAGTTGGAAAGTATGGCCTTAGTGATAGAAACAATGCTGGCTATCCCAAGATAGAATTTTTTTTTTAAGTAACAAATTTATTTCAGTATCTAGTTTCATTTTTAAATTAGAGATGTTGGACAATTTTCTGTATATTAAAATTCATATTAAAGGTGGAAAAAATTAAGATATTAAAGAATAGCAGAAAATTATTAGACCCTACATTTACAAAAATCATGTTTAAGAGTAAAAAAAAAATACAGTTAAACTATTTACTAGTTAGCTCTTCTAATTATAGTACATGTTCATATATTTTACCTATTTTTATCTAATTACTACCATGTCCAACACAACTTTCCAAAGTTTAAAGTTTTCTTGGCTGCTGTTATTAAGTGTCGCCAAGTTGGTCTCAACTCATTGTAACCCTATATAGGGTGTTCGAGTCTTTAAATCTTTGTTGGAGAAGAGAGCCTCCTCTTTCTCCTGTGGAGTGACTGGCAGGCTTGAACCGCCTACCTTGTGGTTTGCAGGCCAGTGCATATTGTGTGGAGCCACTGCACACCCATAAGATTTTTACCACTTGTGAATTATGGCTTAACTATTTTTCTAAACCATTCTGTAAAAGAAAACCTGAAACTGATACTGATCAAAAAGTATTAGGACAGTTTGGACCACAAAGCCAGCAGTTCAAACTCACCAGCCACTCCTTGGAAACCCTATACAGGATCACTGTGAGTCAGAACCAACTTAACAACAACAACAACAAACACTTGAGTTTAAACAAAGAATGGAATGAAACATAAAAATGCTACGTGTATAGTCAACAAATTCTCTGATAAGACTTTTTAATCACATATTTCTCACATGCAAGGAAAAAACTAGATTCCAAGGTGCTACAATGTTTGGCATTTTAAATGTAAGCTTTATATCATAGTTTTATTCTTCTCAACAAAGGAATTCCAAGCAAAAGGCAATGTTCATAAGTACAAATACTGTTATACCCAATAGGTGCTATTTTACAGTTAAGATAATAAGAGAACTCTTTGTAAAATTAGGTTTATAAAAACGCAGACTGTCTGATAATTGTATTAACAATATCTCTAAGGTTAAAGTAAGAAAAGCATTGCAGAAAATAGAACTACTTATTAATATCATTTTGCTTCGAGAAAGTCAGAAATTATTTTATTCCAAGAAATAATAATGATAAAAGATGTGATTAGCATACTTTTTAACTTCTGCGAGGACAATTTTCATTATTTTACATTCATAATTCCTTTGTCTAAAACAGAGTACTAATTTAAGCCACTGTTGAATAGCATTCATAATCTAAAGTTATTTTTTCCCATAGGATATGTTCGTTTCAGCACATACGCTGCAAAACCATAACTGACAAATGACTAGGTCAGCTATAAAGAATGAATAGCAAAATAAGTACTAATTTATAACTGCCAACAGATACCAACAAACTTCTATGCCCAAGACTGAATGTTATTACAGTACTGAGGTCAGAGCATGATTCTTCCATATGGGCAGACATTGTTTACTAAATAACACTATCATAAAAGCCAAAGGAGAAACCTTAGTGGGTCCCTCCAAAGCGACATCAGTTTCCAAATGATTTTTCTTTGGTTGCAGTACCTGTTCTTTCCTTCATTTCTATTTTAGTCACTTGGCATTTGCAATTATTTTCTTGACATTTTTGTTTCGTCTTCTGCTTTTTCTCCCTGACTTCAATCATCCTGGCCAATTTCCAAGACAGCACAGCACTTGCTAGGAACAGTGGAGTAAGGGCCAAAATTACTGTCGTGAGGAAGCCACAGAGTGGTGAATGGTCCTTTGCAGACCATTCTACCCCATAATCAGCCTAAGCCTATAAATCAAACATCTTTGTTGTGGTCCTATGTGTTTGAGAAGTGATCTTTAATTTTGTCCTGGGATTATCAATGAGTAAATCACAATTTCAGAGGACCTTTCACTTTTGTCTTTTTTAATTATACCATACATTTCTGGGAGGATTCTTAAATTCGCCAGACCAGAAGCAGGAAGAACGCTGCCCCCATGATAGAATTTTGCAAGATGAATGACTTATTCACTGCAAATAACTTTTATCAACAACATAAAAGGTGGCTATACACATGGACCTCACAAGACAGAATACACAGGAATCAAATCTCACCTGTGGGAAGAGATAAGGAGAAACTAAAAAAAAGGCCAGGGGCTGACAGTTGAACACACTATCAATTGCTCATATGCAAGTTTAGGCTGAAGCAGAAAAAAATTTAAACAAATTCACTAGAGCTAAAACAGTACCTTGAATTTATTTCCTACCTGAATTTAGAGATGGTTTCAAGAACAGATTTCATGTATTAGATGCTAACGACCAAGATGTGGGATGTGGGATGACATCTAGAACATCATACAGGTGGAAAGCAAAAGGTCATAAAGAACATAAGGCAGAAAGAAAAGACAAAAATGGATGTCAGAAGAGACTCTGAAACTTGCTTTCCAGCATTTTTTTTTAAGTGCCATCGAGTCGGTTCCAATCCATAGTGACTCTATATGGGGCTTCCAAGGAGTGACTGGTGAGTTTGCACCACGGACCTTAAAGTTCAAACCGACTTTGCAGTCCAACGCATTACCCCACAGCATCACACCAGAACTTGGCTTTCCTACAGAGAGATGCTAAAAAGAATGGAAGAAATGAGCCAACAGAAAATTTCAAAGAGCAACTTGAGAAGAAAAAGTCAAGTATTATAAGGAAATGTGCAAGGATCTAGAGTTAGAAAACCAAAAGTGAAGAACACACTCCACATGTCTCAAGCTGAATGAACTGAAGAAAAACTTAAGCCTCCATTTGATATTGAAGTATTCTAGATATGGCACTGGGGAACACTCAATTTCCATGAAGAGACTTTAGGCATCTGCAAATCTTTGATTAAACTTTTTTCCTAAAGACATTCAATCAATCTTTTCAAACTTGTGCTAAATGAACACTCAGATGTAGCGTATGCTATATTTTAACATGCTGGAGACCAAACACATTAACTCATGATGCCAGGTTAACTTGTTTTTAAGCAGATTTAGGGCTTAGCTTCTCTGTCCTCTTGATGCCCACAGTTCAACTTCTTATAAATGTGTCACTGATTTGGAATGCTGCAGCTCTGCACTGAGTGCTTCTTGAATTCAGGTCTGTGCATGTTTGTTTGTGAAAAACAATACAAGCAACGCTCCCTGTGTTCACATCATTAACAGGACAAAGAGGAGAAGGAAAGGCATATGGGAAATGAACAAGTTGTCATGGGTTTGTATGACTTTTATATTTATGATAAAAATCATGAGTAATTATTAGACAAATATCAAACTCTGAGAATCCTAATTAGGAAATCATGATGCTGGTCTTCTAAGCTCTATAGCACCTTAACTGAACTGTCCTGAGATTCGTTCATTTGTTATTACAGTTAAAAGTGGAATTGTTTGCAACTACTTAATTTTCAGCCAATACACGTTTCAGTAATAAATTAGATGAGGAATGTGAAAAAAGCAAACACCCAAATTCAAAATTTAATATTGATGAAAATAGCCTCTCCTTTCTTACTGTTTGTTTTTCCAGTTGTGAAATCAATATATTGTAACCAGTTTTAGCTTACATTGTAAGTTAAAATTCTATTTAAGGTTTTGTTTGATAAGAGTATGCCACTAAAAAGTTTGAAAAAGTGTTAGAATATATCAAACTCTCGGTCTAGGTCCTATATATATTTTTCAGGTTTCTGAGTTAGTTGATCTTCAACAATAACTGCCTTTCACCTCTTCTTGTTTCTTAATCTGTGCCAGCCAAGCATTATTTCTAACTAGGTCTCATCCAAGTGCAATTTTAGAACAAGTAACTTGTTTACTATTAAACACAGACGTCTAGTCATTTCTTTTGGAGATATCAGAAGTACAGTTAACTGAGTCCCTATAGTTGAGTTAAATGGTGTAAATTATTTGGAAGCTTTCTCTTATGGAATAACTTCTATAGTACCATGACTGAATGCTCAGAATCTCTTCCTCATTCCACACTCTAATATATACACACAAATAGATTGTGTGCCCTGTTTTAACATGCTAGTCATAAAGTCTGCGTGAGCCTCCAGTGTTTGTCTAAAACTTGTGCAATGACCTTTGGCCTATATCAATGAGCCGTGACCTTGTTTGATTTGAAAACTTCATTAATATAATGACTCAAACACTTAAGTCGCATGGAATGCCTTATTTGAGACTTGTTCTGTGGGAGGACTCTTGAGACAAGCTTTTAATGGAATCATTTTGATTTATCAACAAACACTCATGCCTTCAGGACAAACCCCCCTCCAAGACTGAAATTCAAAGGGAACACATGAGCAGACATGTAAGCTTGCTGGTGACCACATTGGTCTACTGGTAAGTGGAAGTGGGTTAAAGGCAGCAATGAAGATATGGGCTGAATTCGACCACATTCCATAAACTTCCACTGACCTGGAGATGAGAGAGAGAAGAGGAAGGGCTGGTTGGTCCAAAGTGTGGTAAGACCTGGGAACACCTGAGCCCATAGCCATGGAGGGGTAGAGCTGAGAGTGAAGCATCCAGCTGATATGAAGTGAGGGGGGACACACAAGAATGCCCAAACTTTCAGATAGTGTCCATTTTACCTAGTTTCAATGTCTTGATGATCAGAACTTGACTAGAGGAAGATTAAAAAAGTTTGATACAGGAAATAAGTGTGAATTGCTACAATTTGAGGAACTTGATCTACACTTATGGATGTAGTAGTTCAAAATACCAACTGAGAGGGAAGGAATCTTCACATCAAGGATCAATCCTATTCCCTCTGTACACAGGGTTGATAGGGATGGGCAACCTTAGACATTGGTGACCTAAAATGGGTGTGGGGGACAATAAAGGCATGAGGTGACTGGCTTACAAGTTCTCAAGAGGGAGTTTAGTTTCAGAGTGTGCAGGGGAAGATAGAACCCCCATAGAATAGTTTTCATCTTGTCTAGACTTGTCTGGTGAAAGGAGATGGGGATAAGATTCTTATGATTCAAAAGTGAGTTATTGTTATTATAACTAATTGCAATGCTCACAACTCTAAAAGTAGAAGTTTTATAACAAAAAGGGAGGAGTAGTTAATCTTACAGTCCAGGAACAGAGTACCCTAGGATCATCAATGGAAAACACGAGCAGAATGTAGGAACCTACCCAGAGAAGCATCAACACCAGAGATGGAGGCAGAGATGAGGCTATGGAGAGATAGATCATCTGAGGACTCTAGACTCATGGAAAGAGAAAGGCTGTTGTTGTGGTGGCCAGGAGGCAGGCTTGCAGAATGTGCCCTGGGGTTGTTTAAATGACTATATATTCCTGAGTGTTTTTGTGCACATTCAAGACCAAAAAAAACCAGATGGAATGAAGCAAATATTATTGAATGATGATGCATGGAGGGGATTGTAATCATTATATTGAAACAAAATACCCCAGGATGAGTGTAAAACTGATATTCTCCCAGGTAAGCTATCACTCAATTCACAATAAAAACTTAAAAAACAACAAAGAAAATAACCACTTATGGATGTTGCTTATCATGGACCGAACTTGGACCATATTGTTTGGTCCAAGTGAATGATGGTACACTGAGGGTCTAGTCTTGTATGACAACCTTATTCTACTAAATGAGCCACCAAATAACAGGATGATTTACCTAATTTATCCAGTCATCACATTTTCTTTTCTTCTTTTGAATTTTAGAGTGTGTCCAAGTTTACTGATTATGAGTTGAAGGCCTATGCCAAAGCAGGGTGTGTGGCTGATGAAGTGATTTCTTCAGTGCGAACAGTGGCTGCTTTTGGTGGTGAAATAAAAGAAGTTGAAAGGTTGGTTAATTGAACATCTGCCACTTTCCAAAATTTTGTTGATCAACGTAGAACCCTAAATCTGTCTAATTTTGTGCAAGGTGGATTATCCACCTTGATCTATGGTGCCCTGAGTAGTTTTTGCTCAAGAGGTAGCTAAGTAGATTAATTTAGGTTGGCTAGGTAGCGTAGTGGTTATGAATCGGGCTGTGAACCACAAGGTCAGCAGTTCAAAACTACCTTCCGTTCCATGGGAGAAAGATGAGGTTTTCTGCTCCCATAAAGATTTACAGCCTCGGCACATAACAACAACAACAACAACAACAACAACAAAGAATGACAGGGAGTCCCAAGTCTCTAGCTAGATGCTTTTAACAAAGTTTGAGTTGGCATTTTTAGAAAGCCAGTTTTAAGTTTGATTTTTTTTTTTTCAAACTCTGGATATATATATGTATACAGTCTATAACTTTCTGCCATTGAGGAAAAGCTTAACCAACCAAATCAAATTCATTGTCATGGAATTGAATCGGATTCATAATGGCCCTATAGGATAGAGTAGCATCGCCCCCAAGGAATGCCAATGTTAGGAACCTTCACAAAAGCAGATTGCCACATCTTTCTCCCATGCTTTTGAGTTCAAACTGCTGACTTTTTGGTTAACAATTGAGTGCTTTAACCATGGCACCACCAGGGTTTGCTAAAGAGATACAAAATAATACAAAATGCAGTTCTACACATCTTAATTAAACACATTTTATTCCTCTATTGTACTCCCTAAGGAGCCCTGGAAGCATAGTAGGTTACAAGTCGAGCTGCTAACCACAGGTCATCAGTTTGAATCTATCAGCTGCTCTATGGGAGAAAGATTTGATTTTTCCCTCTGTAAAGATTTGGGTTTCTGAACCAATTCTATGGCACACAGATACCATCACCACCACTGTCCTCCATGATCTTGATAAAGTCTGATAAGATTTCCATTTCACCAAACAAAATTTTGTACTGACATGCTACAGACATCATTCCAGAGACTGAAGTGATAGAAAAAAGCAAAAGCAAAAACTAAGTGGTCTAAACAACAGCGTTGTTAAAAAATGTGATTTCTTTAACTCATCCCATATTTTTGATTGCTTATCATGTGCCAGGTACTAACTGTAAAATAGTTACTGTAAACTCAATTTTTTATGTTCTGGAGATCTATGGTAATGATTTCATTCTCAAGTGCTACCAAATTCACCAAATAAAAAATAGACTAAGTTTTACTATCTCTAATTATGTTCTTTTCCTTTTCTTCTTTGGCTTCCATTTTTAATGTAACGTTACCTATTTCTCACTAAAAAAATTAGTAATGTATTTCTTCTACTGTGAAATACTTAATTTTCCATTATCATTAATATAAAAGGCACTGGAAGGTTCTTTAAAATTATAGCAAGCATAGGATACAGCTTCCATATGTGCCCTGTGAAATGTTAAAATTTCTCCATCAATTAATTTTTGTATTGTAGGAAAATCATTACAGAATGCCTGAACTGTAAGATAATGCCCACAAGCGTAGTGATTATGAATCGGGCTATGAACCACAAGGTCAGCAGTTCGAAACTACCAGCTGTTCCATGGGAGGAAGATGAGGCTTTCTGCTCCCGTAAAGATATGAAGCCTGTACAGGGTCGCTATGAGTCGGAACCGACTCCACAGCACATCACAACAAAAACAATCACTAGATCTTGGAGTATCTAAAGCCTAGAGTCCTGGTGTGGTGCTGTGGGATAATGCGTTGGACTGCAAGGTCAATTTGAACCTCAAGGTTGGTGGTTCAAACTTACAAGCCACTCCTCAGAAACCCTATACAGGGTCGCTATGAGTTGAAACCACTTGACAGCACTAGCCAACAACAACAACGTGCTTAGTTGGGCAGTTCAATGGTAAAATTCTCACCTATCATGCAGGAAACCTAGATCCAATTCCCAGAATGCACCTCAAGTAAAGTCATCATCTATTTGTCAGTGGAGACTTGCACGTTGCTATGTTGCTGAACAGGTTTCAGCAGATCTTCCAGTCTAAGATGAACTAGGAAGAAAGATCTGGTGATCTACTTCCAGGAGGCAGCCCATGAAAACCCTGTGAATCACAATAGTTCACCCCCAACTGGCCATGGGGTTGACTCAGGACTGAGCAGCATTTCATTCTGTTGCTGTGAGTCTGGGACAGATTCGACCGTTGTCATTGTTGTTGATGTTAAGTGCCATTGAGTCAGTTCTGACCCATAATCACCCTGTATAGGGTTTCCAAGGAGCAACTGGTGAGCTTGAACCGTCGACCTTGCAGTTCAAATGACTTTGCAGTCTGGTGCATTAACCCACAGAGCCATAACAGAACTAGTCATTGAGTTAAATTTCTATGACGTTTTGGTTGTGTCCCAGAGCTGTACCCTGTACCAGTTATTTTGCAGCATAGCATCTTTGTCACAGGGCAGATGGATGAATTGATTAAAACACTAGTTTCAAACCTGGAGGCAAAACATCTAAATCACCTGACTTGTCTATTGGAGGCAGTTGCATCATTTTCTGATAGATGTCATATAACTTGAAGAAACAATTCAAGCACAGATAGTACTGGAACCATCATGCCAAAACATTAGTGTGGATGAAGAATTGCTGGGGAACTAGATGAGATTTGAAAAATTTTGCTTGTTTGTGTATCTCTCAAGTTTTAAAAGAACAAAACGGATACACGATATAGTTTTCAATCTAAATGAGCTTTGCTGATGTCAGATTATAGTAGAAAGGGAAGCAATCACTATCTAGATGTTGAAAATTTTTATTCTGTGATACAAGTTCTCATGTCAAGGATTTTTATCCTCATAGAATGCAGTGAATTTTTCTCAGGGAAATGCTTTCAGAGTGGAAAACACTGTGTTAGCTTGTAAGCATGTTTCATCATTTTTGGTGTTCTGTTAAAACATGGTATATTCTAAACCATAAAACATGAAAGAGAAAACAAACAAAACCATTTGTATTGAAATTTTTTTTTCCTTGGGGCAGAACTTACCCTGATGTTACTTATCCAAGCAGCAATTAAATATGAGATTTTGTTAGGTATCATCCCTTCAATACATTTCATTGCTAGGTTGAAACAGACTTTAAATAATTGCACAGAGATTATAGTAGCTCTATTTCTCTACAGTTGTTCTGGGTTTGGGGTGGTTTTATAGTCATAAAATAAAACTGCATTATGACTACTTTTAAAGATTGTAATTTAAGCTGATGTTTCTGAAGTAGACACAAACATTTTCTCTTCACAGATATGAGAAAAATCTTGTGTTTGCCCAGCAATGGGGAATTAGAAAAGGGATTGTGATGGGATTCTTTACTGGATACTTCTGGTGTCTCATCTTCCTGTGCTATGCACTGGCCTTTTGGTATGGCTCCAAACTCATTCTGGATGAAGGAGAATATACCGCAGGAACCCTTGTCCAGGTACTTTGATCTTGATGACCTACAAATAACGTTTTCTGCTGGTATCTCAGAAAAGTCCACTGGTAAGACACTTTGTGTATTCCTTCGGTGTCTCAGGGAGGAAAGAATCAACAATTTAATAGTGTTCATCTGTAGAAGCAAGCAATAATTATGCATTTTATAGTAAAGGTATGCTGAGTATTAGAATTGATGAGACTAGCAATTTAATGATTTCCAATTAGTTTAAGAGTGTATAGCTGTAAAACAATGAATTTCTAACTGCAGTCCAAAAGATAATGTGCCATGAAAATGGAAAAGCCCACATACCTCCAGAAAGACTTCAGAAAATGAACAATTCATATAGTTGAGCTTAGTAATAAGACAAGGCATGTGTTAATGGGTATATTTGTGAAATATAATGAGCTACTAAAATACCAAGTCAATGATAGTCTCAACTGAACAGATGGTGCCAATACATTTTGTTGCTCAGTTGTACTATGGCAATCCAAATCAAATAGTGTCACAGCTAATTTCCCAGTGTCTTTTCTGTTATTCACTCAATGGATGATTACTGAGCATCTACTATGGGTCAGAACTGACTCCACGGCACTTAACCGCAACAACAACTATGTACCAGACCCAGAGAAAATGCAGGGGATCCAAATTGTGAGCAAAAAGAGCCTGGTCTTTGCCCTAATGAGATTTACAGTTTAGTGGGGAAGACAGCAATCACTAAATGCCTATGGAACTGCATGGAGATGTACATGCTGGCGTGAGCTATGTCGAGTACAGGGAAACTTGACAATGAATAGCAGCTAAGTAAGTGGGTGTGACTGGCATGATGGAAGATTTTTCATCTTGGCCCCCAGCCCAGTGCTCTTCCTCCTTAGGTGATGGCTACACAGCTGGACTCTTGTCACTGTTCATATGCTCAGCTTAATGACACTTCCCTATCAGGCCTTTCGTGCTTTTCCGATCTTTGATTTTCTTTTGTGGATCTATATATTGAAAGTGGAATATGTAAATTCTGATAAAAGCATTGAATAAAACAAAGCAAGCAAAACAAACAAACAAACAAAAACCCCTTGGTAACTCTTTTCTATGAGTCCCTAAATAGCTCAAATGGATAAGTGCCTGACAACTAGCCAAAATGTTGGTGGTTCAAATCTGCCCCAGAGCCATCTTGGAAGATAGCCACCTGGCTATCTGCTTCCAAAAGGTTATAGCCTTGAAAACCCTATGGGACAGTTTTACTGTGTGCACATGGAGTTGTTGCCATGATTTGGAATCTATTCAATGGCAACTTACAACAACAATTCTTTTCTAGTAAAAATCCAGTTATATGGTTCTTATTTTCAAGTCTCCTGTTCAGTTGGTTTGTGTCAGCTGGTTGTACCATCTGTAAATAATTCATCCCTTCCAATAATATTTCTTGAGTAATTACTATGTGCAGATGTGGCACATTATGCGATTCTAAAGCTTAAGCAATCAATTATTAACCTCTTACTTCTAACCACTTCTTATAAGTCTCCGCTGACGTCTTAACATTTTTCTTTGGGAAATGAGAGACCTCTTTCAACAGTGTAATCATTGCTCTCTCATGTATAATGGTGAGTTCTTGGTTGTACTTCTGAACAGAAAACTATGAAGACTGAGTATGCATTAGCTGGGTTAAGTGTTTAATCCACTAAACTAATTAACAATTAGGTTAATCTAGCACATTTTGTCATACACAAAGTCATTACTGCATGTATGGTAATTGGGCATAAATGGCAAGTGGTTCACGTAAATGACTGTAATTAGTACACTAGAGCACAGGCAGAAAATGTAGTTTTGAGATCTATTAGAACAAAAGACAAAGGGAACCTGAATGGTACAGAATGCTACTCTCTCATGCCCCTCTTAAGGTTGAGAATTCAATAATAAAAATCCTAGCAATAATATAAAGTAACATTCATTTATTATGCATAATGTGCACAAAGTGAGAAGTTTAACCATATATAATACAACTTTCCTTTGCAATTGGTGTAAGCATTCTACCACTTACAAAATGAAATAGAGGTTCTCTAGGGTTAAGAAGGAGTTGGTGTGGCACTGTGGGTTAATACGCTGGATTGCAAACTCAGTTTGAACCAAAAGGTCGGCAGTTAAAGCCTACCAGCCACTCCTGAAAACCCAATACAGGGGTGCTATGGGTTGGAACTGACTTGACAGCACTTAACAACAACAAGGGTTAAGAAACACATGTCAAGTGGTATAGTGTAGGGATCGAAAGTCTTTGCATACCAGGGTCCTAGCCCCCCCTAACCACTGTTTCTCTGCCTCTGGATTTGCCTTTCCTTTCTTCAGCAGAGCACACCCATGCATTGCTCCTGAGCTGTCTCGTCCCCCGCCTCCTCTTCTCTACTGTCCCACGCTACTGTCCATTTAGGGTGAAGAACAATGGCTTTCTGATAGCATTAGGCATGACACTCTGTTCTGTCTCACTCTACTCTCCCCACAGACCTCCAGAAAGACACACCATTGAAGTAATGACTCACAAAGCCAGGAGCAGCATGGTTTGACTCCCAAACTCAATCGAGCCCTCCAGTGAGTCAATCTATACACTAGACAGTAGTTGTTGTTAGGTGCTGTGGAGTTGGCTCTGACTCATAGCGACCTGCATACAACAGTACCAAACACTTCCATCCTCACAGTTGTTTCTATGTTTGACTCTATGCTTGCAGCCACTGTATCACTCTATCTTGTTGAGGGTCTTCCTCTTACTCTCTGACTCGACTTTACTAAGTTTGTTGTTCTCCTTCATTCACTGATAGCTCCTGATAACATCTCTCTATATAGGCAAACTTTGACCTACGGGTCAAATCAAATCTGCCTCCTGTTGTTGTTTTTTTTTTTAACAAACAAAGTTGTATTGAAACTCCACCATACTTGTTTGTTGACAAATTGTCTATGGATGCCTATGTGCTAGAGTGGCAGAGTTGAATAGTTGCTTCAGAGATTGTATGATGACAAAGTCTAAAATATTTACTGTCTAGCCCTTTACAGAAACGTTTTTTGCCTCCTGCTCTAGACCATGTGGAAAGCATCCATTGCTCAGGTAGTAAGGCCCCTGAAGACTGTGGTTTCAAACCAAATTAGACCATAAGAAGTGTGCCATGAACTCCGTTTACTACCTCCTAAGTGTGAGACTTTGTTACTTTCATCATCACCATCATATCTTTGTTTATGTAACTGATGCTGGTTTAATCATCTTCATATATATTACCTCATTTAATTGTCATAATAATCTTATAAGGTATACACTATCATTATCCCTGCATTATAGCTAAAGCACTTGGGGCTTAGAAACATTAAGTCATCTGCCCTTGCGAAAAAATAACTGCTATAATTAAGAAAAAGGAAAAAGAAGGGCAGGTAGAGAAAGAATGTTTGTTCCCCTGCTTAAGGTGGTGTGTTTGTGTGTGTGTGTGGAGGGGTGGTGGTGGTGATGGTGGCTGACCCACAGTCTGTCTGGAGAACCACTGTCTTGTGAATCTCCTTGACATGGGAGTTGCAGGAGAGGGAAGCAGATGGTTGGGAGGTTCTGGGAAGCCTCATGCTCTAGCCACTCCAACCACAAGGAAGAAAAAGAGTGGGGAGGAGACTGTGTGGCAACTTGCCCAATACTCACACAACCAGAAAGTGTCTGGCCTATGGAAACCACCATACACTGGGTTCATCTGAATATCTGAAAAGGAGTGCATTCATGCCAGAGTCAAATTTTAGCTTGGCATGTAACTCCAGTCCACAAGTCACCATGCCCTGTGTAAGTCTTCCTTCCATGTGAGCCACGTGGTGGGAAGGAGGAGACTCGTGCTCCTCCTAGAGACAATTTGAGGAATTGCTGCATTGCCTTATGCTCATCTTTATAAACAGCACTAATAAAAACAGTGTGCTCTTTATTAGAAGGGGTCCTGGTGTAGCGCTGTGAGTTAATGCGCTAGACTGCAGTATTGGTTTGAACCTCAAGGTAGGCAGTCCAAGCTCACCAGCTGCTCCTTGGAAATCCTATACAGGGTCGCTATGGGTCAGAACTGACTTGATGGCACTTAACAACAACAAACAACAACAACATTTATTAGGAACATCTGGCTGTGGTCTGGTAGGCTTTTCCTAACTTAATGAGAAGACCATATTGGTGATTCAAAGTCCAGCTCTCCATGTCTTCACAGGAACTGGCCACTCTATCTGTATGTACCCAGCATCAGGTACACCTAGGAGCTAGATAGAAGGGCTATCAAGAACCTGGGTTCAAATACTATTCTTCCATTACTTGTAGTATAGTGAAACGTAGGTAACCTCTATATAAGCAGTTTCCTTTTCTGTGTTAAGGGTACAATGAAATTATGTAGGTAAAACACTTAGAAACAGAACTCATTATTATTGTTACTAGTAGTATAATAAGGAGCTCTGGTAGCATAGTGGTTACAAGTCGGGCTGCTAATCACAAGGTCAGCAGTTCGAAACTACCAGCAGTTCTGCAGGAGAAAGATGAGGTTTTCTGCTCCCATAAAGATTTAAAGCCTTGGAAACCCTATACAGGGTCACTATGAGTTGGAACCAACTCCATGGCACACAGCCACCACCAGTAGTATAGTAATAGTGGTACCAGTACCCATCCTATTGCTATGTCCATTTCTAGGACAGTCAAGCTGATTTAGTGTCTTTGTTATTTCCTTGACCATTTAACTAGAAAACCATTACGAAGCTATTTATACAACCAACCAACTTAACATCTGAATATTCTAACTCACATTGTGACTGTCTGCTGCCTCACGTAGGCCTCACACTCTATGAAACATGTTCTTCATTGCAGAAGAGTGATTTTCAGTCAAACATAATGTAGTCTTTTAAATCACAACAATGAGAAAAATTGGAAATGATTTATAGAACAAAAATTGTTCCAGGAGATACTAAAGAGCCATTTAGCTTTCAAATGTCCATAGAAAACTATTTCTGATAAACTCCCATACTCATACAGGTGATCCAAATGATAGTGAGAATTATTTACAAAAGCCACCAAACACACTCACATGAAAACTCTCTCTCTTTTCATTTCAGATTTTTCTCAGCGTCTTAATAGCAGCTTTAAATCTTGGCAATGCATCTGCTTGTTTGGAAGCTTTTGCAAGTGGACGTGCAGCTGCCTCCAGTATTTTTCAGACAATAGACCGGGTATGTACAAACCAAAAATAAAGTTCTTTTGCAGGTTGAGGGGTGGGAGGACGAACTCAGTGTTAAAATATATATATATATATATATATATACAGCTTGAATAAGTGTTATCATAAGCCCAGCCCAATTCTATGAGCTGGGAATGCAATAGTGAACCCAAACAAATAAGACCCCTGCTCTCATGCTTAATGTGTCCCTGAATGGTGCAAATGGTTAAGGTGCTTAAGTGCTAACCCGAATGCTGGAGGTTCAAGTCCACTCAGACGTGCTTTTAAAGAAGGTCTGATGATCCATTAGCAAAATATTTCCGTTGAACACTCTTAAACAAAAATATCCACTGATCTCTTTATTCCATTGCTGTGACGCTAGGCATCATGAGCAAGCTCTCTGGCGACACCCTCTATTAAATCATCCTTGTATAGTTGGTATAGTTTGTCATGAGCTATTATTTTTTCAATGTGTTGCTGGATTCTATTGACTAGGATGTTGTGAATTTTGGCATCAATGTTCCTGAGGGATATTGGTCTATAATTTTCTTTTTTAGTAATGTCTTTGCTAGGTTTTGGTATGAAGGTTTTGCTCACTTCATGAAATGAATTTTGGGTTTTTTCATCCTTTTCTGTACTCTGGGATAGTTTGAGTAGAACTGGTGTCAGCTATTTTCTAAATGTTGGTAGAATTCACCAAAGAAGCTGTCTGGTGTTGAACTATTTTTTGTTTGAAGATTTTGACAACCTGATCAAGTTCTTCTTTTGTTATATTGTTGTTGTTAAGTGTCGTCGAGTCGATTCTGACCCATAGAGACTCTGTATAGAGTTTCCAAGGAGCAGCTGGTAAGCTTGAACCACTGACCTTGCAGTTCAAACTGACTTTGCAGTCTGACACATGAGCCCACAGTGCCACACCAGGACTCTTCTTTTGTTATGGGTCTATTCAAATTTTCTATTTCAGTCCATGTTAGATTAGGTAGGTAGATTAGGTAGTGTCCATTTCTTGTCATTTCTTCTAGATTTTCAGATTTGTTGGCATGCAATTCTTCTTAGCACTTTTTTGTTATCTTTTCTATTTCTGTTGCCCCTGTTGTAACACCACCCATTTCATTTCTTATTCATGTTATTTGCATCTTCTCCTTTTCCTTTGTTAGATTTGCCAGTAGTTTGTCAAATTTATTAATCCTTTCAAAGAGCCAACTTCTTGTCTTGATTCTATTGTTTTTGTTTCAGTTATTTCTGCTTTAATTTTCATGATTTCTTTTCTTCAAGTTAGTGCAGGCTTATTTTGCTGTTCTTTTTCTGTTTGTTGGGGATGTTGGATTAAAGTGTTGATTTTAGTTCTTTCTTATTTTTGAATGTCTGCGTTGATTTCTATGAATTGCCTCTTGAGCACTGCTTTTGCTGTGTTCCAAAGGTTTTGGTATGTTGTGTTTTCCTTTTCATTTGATTCAATGAGTTGTTGTTTGTTTGCTATTTTATTTCATCTATTACCCAGTGTTTTTTAAGCAAGGCGTTATTCAGTTTCCATGAATTTGATTTTTTCCCCTTGATATTCCTATTGTTGATTTCTAATTTTACGGCATTGTGACCTGAGAAGGTACTTTGTAGTATTTTGATGTTTTCAAATTTAGTGAGTATTACTTTGTTGTTGAACATATGATCTACTCTGGAAAATGTTCCAGGTGCACTGGAAAAGAATGCATATTGTGCTATTGTTGGATGGAGTATTCTATGAGGTCAAGTTGATTGATTGTATTGTTTAGTTCTCCTGTATCTTTGTTGAGTTTCTTTCTAGTTGTACACTTCTTCATTGAAAGTGGTGTTTCTTTGTCTCATGCAAATTCCTATGCTGAGGTTAATTTGTTTTGAGTTTTCTTGTCATTTTTTTGTTTTGCTATTGCTTTAGGGTTTACTAAATCTTTGTAGTTTTCCTCTTTTCTATTTTTGTTGAGGAGACACTTTATTGATATTCTTTGAGATTACCCTATAGTTTATTAATTTCTTCCCAAATTTAAAGTAATCTATTTTATCTTGAAATCTTCTTGGCTTCCTCCTTATTTGGAAGTTCTGTAACTACACTATTACTACTTTTTACTTTATGATTTTATTGTTGCTACAAACGAAATCTCTAGTTCCCTATTATCAGTCTGGTAGGTTTGCTTTACTTTAGCTACTTCTGTATCTGACTTGTGGCATCCCGGTGTGGCGCTGTAGCATAAGCACTGGGCTGCTAACTGCAAGGTCGGCGATTAAAACCCACCAACTGCTTCTCAGAAACCTTATACAGGGCCTTTATAAGTCACAACTGACTTGGCAGCACTAATAAAAAACAGCAAATCTGACTTCTGGGTAGTATTGTCATGTATGGTAATCTCAGGTTGTTGTCTGTTGGTTCTCTGTCCAAATAAATTGATCTGTTTTTTATAAATTATTTTAATTCCTACTTATCTGAAAATGTCTTAATTTCACTGTCACATTTGAGGGATATTTTTTCTGGACCTGTGATTCTTGGTTGACTACTTTTTACTTTTAGAATTTTATATATGTCATTTTGTTGCCTTCTTGCCTGCATGATTTTTGCTAAGAAACCAAAGCTTAGTTCTTATTGGCTCTCCTTTGTAGGTAACTTCATTTTCCCCAAGCTACTCTCAGGATTCTTTTCTTGTCTTTGGTTTTGGAAAATTTAATTATAATATGTTGAGGTCCATATATTTCTGAGTCCAGGTGTGGATTATAGGTAAGCATTGGACTGCTAACCACAAGACTAGCGGTACAAAACCACCAATCCCTACCTGGAAATCCTATGCAGGGTCACTATGAGTCAGAACTGACTTGACAACACTTAATACAACAATACACTTCTGAAGGTGGTGTTTCCATCTCCCTGACCCTTCCCCAAAGAGCCCTAGTGGTATAGTGGGTTAGCATTGGGCTGCTAACTGAAAAATTGGCAGTTTGAACCCACCAGCTGATGCACAGGACAAAAATGAGGCAGTTTGTGAGTGTTTTGGTGTACATTAAACAAACAAACAAACAAACAAAAAAACCCCAAAAAAACAGAGGGAATGGAAGCAAATGCTGTTGAATGATGATGCATGCAACAAAATGAAATACGATAGGGTGAATGTAAAGCTGATGTTCTCCCATGTAAACTATCATTCAATTCACAATAAAAACTTAAAAAAAAAAAAGAGGCAGTTTGCTTCTGTAAAGATTTGCGGCCTCAGAAATGCTAAGGAGCTGTTCTGTTCTGTCCTACAGAGGGGATACTATGAGTTGCAAATGGTTACATGGTTGTAGGTTGGTTGATTGGAATCTTTCCACATATAATTCTGTAATCTTCAGTTTACATCAAGTCAAAACACAGTTTTGGTATCCTTGAGGGACTTAATCTTGTTTCTTTTAAATGTTCTTAGGGTTTGGGGAACAGAAAGAAGTCTTAAGGGGCAAGATCAGGGCTATAGGGCAGGTGGGGTAAGATTTTCCAATGGAATTCTCTTCTTGTAAGACAGCCCTTGGTATTCTTGAAGAATGAGCAGATGTACTGTTGTGATGGGAAAAAAATTCCTCTGTTCAACTTTCCTGGACTTTTTCTCACTAATGTAGTTTAAAAATTTCAGGAAACTTCTTCTTAATAAGCCCCTGTGCTTTGTTTTGAAGGTACCCTAATAAGATTAAGACACGTGTATTACTGAGAGAACTTGTCTACAGCCATCCACGATCATAGAGATACATGTATATGCATGTTTTATTTGGAACAGATCCATTTATTATGGATTGAAACCCTAGTAGCAATGTATTTTGAATTACCCAAGTTTATGGAATTAAATTAACAACAACAACTCAAAAGATTAGGTAGGAACCTTACAGGGCAACGAATTTAAGTTATGAGGGAAGAACAACTCAAAAAAACAGGTGAGAATGGTTGTACAGCTCCAAGAATGTGATCAGTGTATGTCACTGCATTGTACATGTAGAAACGGTTAAACTGGTGTGTACTTTGCTATGCATATTCTCATCAATAACAACAACAACAACAACAAAATAAAACTTTAACCAAAAAAAGAAAGAGAACCTTATGGAGCATAGTTCTGCTCTGACACATATATATCTCCATGAGTCAAAGTTCACAGGAGGTCAGTGGGGCATGGGAAGCGAGCATGGGGAGGTGGCTGGTGACAGAGATAAATGATGGGAAATGATTCAAGGGGCTGAATGAGAGATCCTCAGAGTGAGCATGAGGCGGGGGTTGGAGGAATGGGAAGGGACCAGGTAATGCAGGGCTTTAAGGCTAGATTCATACAATTGGAGAATAACAGTAAGTCTCTATGAGTTTATTAATGCCTTAGTAGCCTTGTTAAGATTTGCTGTTAAAGCATGCAAGTTAGTAAGTTGAAATCCAAGAACAGAAGTGAGAAGATATTATGTCTTTTTTTTTTTTTTTTTTTTGAAAAAAATGTTCTAGACTAAGAATCAGAAACCCTGAAAGTTCAGAAAGATACTTTGTAGGGCCCCCTGAACTATGGATACTTTCTGCCAAACATTGAGGCTCTAACCTGTCTGAAGAACCTCTTCATCACTTTGTCTGTTTTGGATTTTGGGGTTTGGGAAATGATTTTGTCTTTTTATTTTAAAAAATGGATATTATTTGAAATGAAACACATAAAAATATTGAGCTATCCAAATTGTACCTCATTCTTAGGGTTGCTATATGCTCAAATAAGATGATGACTGTAAATGTACCAGAAACAATCGAATATTACTGAAAACTAAGGCATGTAAAATTATTTTTATATCTTTACAAGAGACACAAAAAGAAGAAAGTAGATTACATTATACCCTCAAGTAGAGCTTTGATGATGAATTTCTTTCACAAGTGTGGGATAAGGAAGATTGTTTTAGATGTTGAAGGTGATCCTCATTTTTTGATGAACTAGAATAGCTAAGTCCTAGATGTTGTTGTTATTAAGTGCCGTTGAATCAATTCCAACTCATATCAACCCTGAATAGGGTTTACAAAGAGTGGCTGGTGGGTTTGAACTGCTGATCTTATGGTTCAAACTGACTTTGCAGTCCAATACATTATCCTGCAGCACCAACTCAGGACTCCAAGTCCTATCTAGATTCACTAATAACAACACAGATGAAGCTAAGAACATAAGTTGAAAGTTGGTAGTATTTGAAGACATCAAATACTTGAGGATAATAGATATTAATTATCTATAGTGATGAGTATTCTGGAACACTTAATTGTGTTCATGAGGAATCTGTACATGAACCAAGAGGCAGTTGTTCAAACAGAACATGGGAACACTGAATGGTTTAAAATTAAGAAAGGTGTGTGATAGGGTTATATTCTTTCACCATACTTATTCAACCTGTATGCTGAGCAAATAATCCAAGAAGCTGGGCTATATGAAGAAAAACATGGCATCAGAATTGGAGAAAGACTCATTAACAACCTGTGATATGCAGATGATACAACCTTGCTTGCTGAAAGTAAAGAGGACTTAAAGTATTTACTGATGAAGATCAAAGAGCACAGCCTTTGGTATGGATTACATCTTAATGTAAAGAAAACAAAATCCTCACCACTGGACCAGTAAACAACATTCTTATCAACAGAGAAAAGACTGAAGTTGTCAAGGATTCTTCTTGGATCAACTATCAACGTTCAAGGAAGCAGCAGTCAAGAAATCAGACGACGTATTACATTAGGCAAATCTGCTGCACAAGACCTTTTTAAAGTGTTGAAGAGCAAGGATGTCAGCTTGAGGACTAAGGTGCGCTGGACTCAAGCCATGGTATTTTCACTAACCTCATATGCATGCGAAAGCTGGACAGTGAATAAGGAAGACCGTAGAAGAATTAATGCCTTTGTGTTATGGTGTTGGACGAGAATATTGAAAGTGTCATGGGCTGCCAAAAGAACAAACAGATCTGTGTTAAAAGAAGTACAGCCAGAGTGCTCCTTGGAGGCCAGGATGGCCAAACTTCATCGCTCATCCTTCGGACATATTGTCAGGAGGGACCAGTCGCTTGAGAAGGATATCATGTTTGGCAAGGTGGAGGGTCAGAAAAAAAGATGAAGACCCCCAGCAAGATGGATTGGCCAAGTGGCAGCATCAATGGGCTGAAGCGTGTCAACAATTGTGAGGTTAACCCAGGACCAGGCAGTATTTCATTCTGCTGTGCATAAGGTCGATATTGGTCGGTACTGATTCGATGGCACCTAACAACAACAACAACAATAGTGGATACTCAAAAAGAGACTACTATTGGACCCCAGCTTGGATAGATACTTTACCTCTCTGAGACTTTACTTTTATTAACTGAAAAATGGATATCTCACCTGTCTGCTTAGGTATGTTGACGATTACATAATTTTCAAAAGCATGTTAAAACAACTTGACTTTCATATATAGTAAGATATTGGTAAATGGTGGTTAAGTGCTCAGCTTCTAAGCAAAAGGTTGATAGTTCAAATTCACCCAGTGGCTCTGGGAAGAAAGTCCTGGCCATCTATTCTGGAAGATTATATAGCCAAGAAAACCTTCTGAGGCAGTTCTACTCTGCCACATGGAATCTGAGTCAAAAGCGACTTGATGTCACTCAACAACAACAACAGCATTATTATCAGTAGTAATCCCAAGTACTTAATTTGATAGCAATTTAACAATTTATCTTTTTAGCACATCAGCAGTGTTTTACCTGGTACTTTTCCTGTTTTTTGAGTGAATTCAAATTGACATTTAAAGTTTAATGTCATATAAATATTATATACATATATGTGTGTGTGTTACAATTTGTTTCTATTTATCTTTTTATTTTTCGCTGTAGCAACCAGTCATTGACTGCATGTCAGAAGATGGTTACAAGTTGGATCGAATCAAAGGTGAAATAGAATTCCATAATGTAACATTCTACTATCCCTCCAGACCCGACGTGAAGGTGAGTTGCAATCTTTGTCCCAGAAACAATGGACATTTTCATTTATGATGATTAATTCCCAGAGCCACAAATGACTTGTTGTTCTGAAGGCTGACTCAGTTTCCAGGAACAGGGAACTGACACATGTTTCTCTGGAAGTGTCCTTGGTTGTTGTGACATTTTCAGGTGACATACTACATTCCTTTATGATAGTTATACATGCAGATTCCTTTAATTGGAAAACCCTTTCAGGTGACCTCTGACAACCCTTTCAGTTAAACTTCAAGGCACTCTGAAAATTCAAGAAGTACAGCTTCATTAATTATTTCCTTAGAGTTTGCAGAAGGCAGAGCACACTGAGTAGGGTATGAAGTAGTGAAGGAAAGGTGCTGTCTTTGTAGTTTATGTTCACAAGGATTACTGGATCAGTCTTTGTAGGAAGATAACCTTATGATATTGCGCTCACTTGTCTTGTACTTGGTGGTCATCCAGAGTCATTACTGTTAGGTGTTGTTGAGTCAGTTCGGGCTCACAGCAACTCCAGGTACACCAGAACGTCATACCACTGCCTGGTTCTGTGCCTGTGTCCTCACAATTGTCACATTTGAGCCGGTTCTTGCTGTCACTGTCAGTCCATCTTTGGGAAATCTTCTTTTTTACTGACCCTCCACGATGTCCTTCTCCATGGACTGGTTTCCTCCTGACAACATGAAAGATATGCCACCCTTGCTTTTAAGGAGTATTCTGGATATACTTCTTCTAAGACAGATTTGTTTGTCCATGGTACTTTCCATATTCATCGCCAACACCGGAACTCAAATGCATGGATTCTTCTATGGTCTTCCTTATTTATTCACTGTTCATCTTTCAGATGCATATGAGGCTGTTGGGAATACCACAGCTTAAGTCAGACACAGCTTAGTCCTGAAAGTGACATCTTTGCTTTTTAACACTTTAAAGAGGTCTTTTGCAGCATATTTGCCCAATGCAAGATGCTGCTTTCAAGAATGTTGATTGTGAATCCAAATACAATGAAATGTTAGTTTGCCGTAATTCTGATACTACAGAGTATATAATGCCCCTTCCAATTATATATTTGAGATATATTTCTGATTAATGCTATATATCACATAAGATTGTGATATATAATACCATGTCATAATGTATATAATAGAGGTGAAACGTTAGTATACTGTAATTCTGATACTGGTGGTGGTGGCTGTGTGCCGTGGAGTCAGTTCTGACTCAGAGTCACCCTGTACAGGGTTTCTGAGGCTGTAATTCTTTATAGGAGCAGAATGCCTCATCTTTCTTCCACAGAGCAGCTGGTAGTTTCGAAGTGCTACAGAGTATGAGATTCCTTCCAATTATATATTTGAAATCTATTTCTGATTAATGTTATAAATCACATAAGTATGTAAACATCATGTTATAATGTATATAATAGATGAGTCTGGATGTGGCACTGCGGGTTAATGTGCTGGACTGCAAAGTCAGTTTGAACCACAAACTCATTGGATCAAGTTCACCAGCTGATCCTTGGAAACCATATACAAGGTTGCTATGGGTTGGAACTGACTGGATGGTGCTTAAAAACAACAACAACAAATGTATATGACAATGCTTTGAAAAATATAAATCACAAAGTAGCACTCACTCACTTAATAAAGGATGGCTATAACCTCCTTTGGACTTCTGCTGTGGTGCTATAGAGTAAGCACTGGACTGCTAACAGCAAGGTCAGGGGTTCAAACCCACCAGCCATTCTTTGGATATTCTATACAGGGTAGCTATGAGTGCAGGGTAGCTATGAGTTGGAATTGATTCAACTGCACTTAACAACAACTTTTTTTAGAGCAGGTATTCAGAACCAGCTCATAATTGTTGCTCAACAAATAATTAGTTGAAGTGAAGTACGTTAATTTAATTTCTATTGTATCTTCTAGTCCCAGTGCCAATAGTTTGCTTTATAAAGCCTTCTTTTGTTGTTGTTAAGTGCCGTCGAGTCGGTTCCAACCCATAGCGACCCCGTACAGGGTTTCCGAGGGTGTAAATCTTTACGGGAGCAGAAAGCCTCATCTTTCTCCCGCGGAGCGGCTGGTAGTTTCGAACCACTAACCTTAAGGTTCGCAGCCCGATTCGTAACCACTACGCTACCAGAACTTAGGTCCATAAATGTTCTTCATTTATGCTTCAAACACGCCAGTAGCCCTGTTATGCCCACATTGTATAGGGAGTATTATAAAGACCAAAAGAACACGGGATACCTACCTGCCTGCCTGCCTGTCTGCTTGCCTGCTGAAGCATATAGACAATATAGCCCAGTATCTGAAAATGTATTTAAAAGCCTGACTCTCTAATATGGAATGAAAGACACATGACATTTTGTTACACACAGTACTCCAAATCCCCTTTCCATAAGCACTAAAATAAAAAACGTTATTGGTGTAGATTTTTACCACCATCCCTCCCTACCTTTGAGCCTAGTAAAAACACCACCAACATTTTATTAGGGAAATCCATTAAAATATGTTCACATACAATGCAAGTGCATGAACGCTGAAAGTTTGTAAATTGACTTATTGTTATTCTATGATCAGTTAATTCGTACTTTATTTCTAACAATGTATTTTTCTTTAACTAGAATTTAACTTTAATTGGAACAGTCTCCTTGTAATACCTTAGTATGCCAGAAGTATTTTAAGTGCGATTTTGGAGTATCATTTAAAACGTTATCATGGTGTATTAAATTTAGTGTTAATATATATCATTTTTATTTATTGCTGGTGGTGGTGGTGTGCTGTGAGTTGGTTCAGACTCACAGCAACCCTGTGTAGGGTTTCCGAGGCTGTAAATCTTTTTGGGAGCAGGAAGCTTCATCTTTTCTTCTGTGGAACAGCTGGTAGTTTCAGACAACTGACTTTGAGGTTAGCAGCTCAACTCGTAGGAATACCTGGACCTACCAGAAGCTGAAGAGACCAGGAAGCATCTTTCTCTACAGCCTTCAGAGAGTGTGTGGACTTGCTGACAGCCCAAGTTTGGCCATTATATACAATTCCATTGCTTTAAGTTAAAAATAAATAAATAAATAAATAAATGGATGTGCTAAATGTCCTGGTGTGGCACTGTAGGTTAATACACTGGACTGGAAAGTTGCTTTGAATGATAAGGTTGGAGGTTCAAGCTCACCAGCTGCTCCTTGGAAACCCTATACAGGGTTGCTATGGGTTGGTACCGACTCGATGGCACTCAACAACAACAAATGTTAAAACTTTGTTCTAGGCACTATTTACTAATTTGCTAGTTAATGGTGGATATCTATGGATATCTATGGATATCTTGGGGCCTTGTGTCACACACAACAAACACACACATACACACACACACGTCTTCACAAAGCATGCTGACTGGTAACTTAATAGCTTGGTTAGGTACAGTCTGATAACCTATACTCTGTTGTGTTCTCTTCTCTCTAGATTTTGAGTAACCTCAGCATGGTCATTAAATCAGGTGAAATGACAGCTATAGTAGGATCCAGTGGAGCTGGGAAGAGTACAGCCTTGCAGCTCATTCAGCGGTTCTACGACCCCAGTGAAGGCATGGTGTGTGTCTTCCAGAAGCCTCGCATACCCTGGAACGAGGGGAGTGTGTATGGGATGTGCTGGCCAAACACAAAGGCTTAGCATACACTGACAGTGTCCGGGCATAGCTGATTGAAGTGATTTCTGAGTGAATGACTGGGCACGTCCCCACATGGGACAGTGTTAAATGAATAACCAGTTGGTTCATTCAGTGATGTAATGGAATGTTAAGATATACGCAAAATGGTATTGTGGCCTCTTCAGTGAACTAAATTTTCCATTTCTTTCATTGTATTGTAACGAAATCATGACTGTTTCTCTAAGTTCCCAAAATACATAGTGTCAAAAAGCTAATATGACAAGAAATTAGCAGGAAACTGCTCTTGGTCACTGCTTTAAGAAGTTAGGACTTAAAAAACACTCATTATCTAATTTCACAAGCCACTTAATATCTTTTCTTTATATTTATTTGACTCTAAAAGGAGCCCTGATGAGTAAGTGCTCAGTTGCTAACTGAGATGTCTGTGATTTGAACCCAGTAGCTACTCTTTCAGACAAAGATGCAGCCATAAAGATTGTTGTTGTTCAGTGTCTACAAAGTACGGTTTACTATAAAGCATATGCTTGTGCATACAAGATGAAGATCATCCTTTGTATTCATTGCATGTTTGGAAGCCCACTTTTCATCATAAATTAAAACATACCAAGGAGTTAAAAACTTACCATTTATGGGCCAAACAGGTTGCATGAAATGATCTTTATATCATTTGTATTTCTGCAATGAACTGTGCAGCAGCCATCCTTGATTTCAATTATATACAGTTGTCCCATGGTGTCCTTGGGGCATTGATTCCTGTACCCCTCCTCTCCATCCCTATCCCTCATACCATACCAAAACCCAAATATGTTTCAGTTCCTTCCTTACATAAAATGTCAGTAATATTTGTACGTACCCTATATAATTATCCTTATGCTTCAAATCATCTGCAGATTACTTAAAATACCTAATATAATACAAATGCTATGAAAATAGTACTTTACATTCCCTATAAGCCTTTGAGATATTGCTTTGACCACTCAATTTCTTTCTTTTTTTTTTTTCCCTCCCAACCTCATTGAGGTTGGTTGAATGCACAGCAGGATACCCAGGGTCAACTGTATTGCAAACCTTAACCAATCATAGTACAAGAGAAAAAGTTCCACTTACAATTTGGTCACTCCACTTCTCTTCCCAAGTACAGAATAATATTTTGATTCAGAACCTTGAAGGGTTGATTCCAAGAGATGTGACTTTGTGTTTACATGCTCCAGGTGACCCTAGATGGCCATGACATTCGCTCTCTTAACATTCAGTGGCTTAGAGCTCAAATTGGCATAGTGGAGCAAGAGCCTGTTCTGTTCTCCACCACAATTGCAGAAAATATTCGATACGGCCGAGCAAATGCAACAATGGAGGATATAGTCCGAGCTGCCAAGGAAGCCAATGCCTACAATTTCATCATGAACCTGCCACAGGTACCTTAGCTCTGTATTTCCAGGGCAGAAATCCAAAAGTCAGAGAAGGAAAAAAAGTCATATGCATGTCTTAAAAAAAAAATAAAAATATATATACCTATTTGAAACTACCAGCTGTTCCATGGGAGAAAGATGAGGCATTCTGCTCCTGTAAAGATTTACAGCCTCAGAAACCCTGTACAGGGTCGCTGTGAGTCGGAACTGACTCCACGGTACTTACCAGCAACATCTAGTATCTACTATCTACTGCTTGGCTGAAAACTGTGGTCCATGAGGGTGAGTTCCTTTCTAGACCTCAAGGGTGGTCAAGGGTGGGCAACCATAGTCCCAGAGTCTCAGGCTCCTACCGTCTCTTTCTGACAAGTAAGCCTGGTTCTTTTTTTAAAATAATAATTCTGAGTTTTGAGTTTTGAATATGTATGTATTTTGATTTGAGTCCTAAATAATTTAAATGTCTAATGTCATGTTTTAGTTTCATGCCTATGATTAATACCATGAGTTTTCCCCTTTGTCTAAAAAAAAAAAGTTGGGTTAACATTAAAAATTACCAAACTTTCTTTTAATATGCTTCCTTTGGCAAAGTTATGGAAACTTCTTAGCCATACCAAACACCTTGAGGGGATGAGTCGCTGGGTCTGGGGAACATCAAGGTCAGTTGGCATAACATAGTCCACAAAGACAATGCTGTGTAATCTGCTTTGGGGAGAAGCTCCTGTGGTCTTCCAAGCCCATGAGTAGCCATCTATGCTGCAGTGATTGACCTCTCCCCACCTAGTTACTCGCCATCAGCACTCCTTTGATGTCTACCACTGCCACTGTTCTGTTCTATTATGATTAATATATTGTGACAACATCACAATATTTTAAAACAATGCCTCACGTATAGCCTTTCTAAATAATAACACCCAAAACAAAACACACTTTCCTCAGAATTATTGTGTACATATGAATTTCTCAGGCATTGGTATGCTAAGTCAAGGAAGAATTATAATTAGTGGTCATGAGTTGGAATCGAGTTGATGACAACTAGCAAAACATGTGATGGTTTTTACTAGGTACAAGGCACAGTTCTGAGTGCTTTATATCCATTAACTCACTTAACCTTCCCAGCTATCCTGCCAAGCAACTACTATTATTACTCCCATTTGTAGATATGTGTCAGAGTAGGACTGTGTTCCTTAGGGTTTTCAATAGCCAGACTTTTCTTCTGAGACACCTCTGGGTGGAAGGATACCGATTACATTGCAAGTAAGCAAGAGAGAAGGTTCACATCCAAGCAATCTAGCTCCAGAGTCTGTTACCTTTATGAATAGAATTGCAGTTGTGAGTTTGATACAGTCTAGTGGTGAAGGAGCTCTGGTAGCATAGTGGTTACGAATCGGGCTGCGAACCTTAAGACCAGCAGTTCGAAACTACCAGCCGCTCCGCGGGAGAAAGATGAGGCGTTCTACTCCCGTAAAGATTTACACCCTCGGAAACCCTGTATAGGGTCGCTATGGGTTGGAAACGACTCGACGGCACTTAACAACAACAAGTGGTGAAGGAGTGTAAATTTTCTAATCAAACTGCTTCTGTAGAAATCCCAGTTTCTCTACTTACAACCTTTATCAACTTGGGCAAATTACTTTAGCCTTTTATACCCCAGTACTTCCTCATCCATCAGTTGAGAAGAACAGCCGTTCACACCTCATAGGATGGGTATAAGACTTAAATGGTAAGCATATATAGCTCAGCACATTCCAGACACATAGTAGATGCTCAGTGAAGGTGGGCTAATAATAAACAAGATAACAGCTGGACCACCAGTGCCTTATATTCCAATGTAGTGCTAGACACACAAGAGTTCAGTAACAATTTGCTGTTGAAGGTAATAATGATACAACTAGCTTTACATTGCCTTTGGCTGTGTGGTATATCAAGAGATAAGATACAAGGGTTTGATGATGTGTATTAACCATGGAGTCCTGGTGTGGCACTGTGGATTAATACACTGGACTGCAGTATCGTATTGAATCGTGAGGTCGGTGGTCCAAGCTCACCGAACCACTCCTCAGAAACCATGTACAGGGTTGCTCTGAGTTGCAACAGAGTCGACGGCACTTAACAACAACAACATTAACCATTTAAGATGAATTTCTAGGACCCTGGTGTTTCACTGTGGGATAAGCACTGGACTGCTCACTGTAAGGTCAGTGATTCAAACATACCAGCTGCTCCTTGGGTCGCCATGAGTTGGAACTGACATGATGGCACTTAACAACAGCAAACTAATTTTTACTTTGCCTCAAAATTTTTATTTGAAGTTGAGCTAAAGAGGAATATTTATACAGTCCAGTGAACCTGGGGATGAAAACATAAATCAATTTCTCCATCGCACACACACATATATTGATTGGACAATAACCTGTTTCAGGAAGGGGACTTTCCATGAAAATTGGAACTGTGTAAATTTATGCCTGAGGAGAAAGCTAGGAACCATCAAATGCTTCTCCCTTGGTTACTGGTTGTCACGGTCTTCCTAGAAATTTGACACCCTTGTTGGAGAAGGTGGAAGCCAGATGAGTGGTGGCCAGAAGCAAAGAGTAGCCATTGCCAGAGCACTTGTCCGCAACCCCAAGGTCCTGCTTTTGGACATGGCCACCTCAGCGCTGGACAATGAGAGTGAAGCCATGGTTCAAGGAGCACTGAGTAAGGTTTGTTGGAAGTCTGAGTTCATTTCTGAGGCCCGTGTGAAAATGCATGGGCTGCTGTAGGAGAGGCAGCTCACTGGGGAAGGGGAAGAGAGAAAAGAGAGAGAGAGGAAACCACACAGTCATGCTTCATGATTTACAGATTCCATATTTGCAAATTCAGTTAATTTAAAATTTTTATTTACAACCTCAAATCAATACTTGTGGCACTTTGACTACCTGAACACATCTTCAGGGGGGTGAAGAATTTGTGTTGCTTATTGCCCATGTTCCCAAATGAGTTGGAACAAGCTGGGAACTCTGCCTTCAAGTGTCTTTTTTGCAGCCTACTTATATGTGCTTTTTTTTTTTTTTTTTTGCTTTCTGTTAACAATTTGTTGTAAAAAATGGCCGTCCAGTGTAATTGTGAAATGTTGTCTAGTGTTCTTAAGCACAAGACAATGTGATGTGCTTACAGAGGAAATAAGAGTATTGATAAACTTTGTTCAAGCCGGAGTACCAATGTTGTAGCCTGCAAGTTTAATGTTAATAAATCAGCATTATAGATCAAACTGTCTATAAACAGAGAAACATGTAAAACAAGGTCATGTACCGATTAGAAGATAAAAATATCATGACCAGAGGCTAGCAGGAACATAACGTTATATTTTCCCAATAGCCATGGTTCAAGATTCTCTCATTCAGAGTAATGGACACCCTCATAGAACATTACCTCATAACAAGAATCGACTACATTGAATACTGCATGAATCAATGGATTCTGAATGGCTATTGAGAAAACATTGACAGATTACAGATGAACAGAAGACAATTATGATTTGTTTCTAGAAACTGCATGTAATACATTCAAAATTTGTTCAGTCTGTCTTAAAATATGTAATTAAAATTTTTCTTGGCTGTCAATTAGTAGTAGCAATCAGAACAATGGGCATTGGTGTTGATGGTCATGAGAAAGTTTACTGGCCTTTCCTGATGTCTGACAGCCGATTTGAAGATTTTTCCAGGGACCAAGGCTCTGACATATATTGGATCTGAGATGATCCCAAAGAGAATGTAAGCTCTGTTTTACAGTCTCACTTAATGGTGCGTTGTGTATGCTTACAGATTCAGCATGGGCATACGATTGTCTCAGTTGCCCATCGCCTGTCCACGGTCAGAGCTGCAGATGTCATTATTGGGTTTGAACATGGCACAGCAGTGGAAAGAGGCACTCATGAAGAACTGTTGGAAAGAAAAGGAGTTTACTTCACTCTAGTGACTTTGCAAACTCAAGGAGATGGAACTGACAATCAAACAGATGTGCAGGGCAAGTGTCTTTCCTTTATGCATGGTTGCACATTGAACGCAACAAATATATAGATACATACAATACATATACACATATGTGTATATATATATATATATTCTTA